TTGGATTAGAACATAGGTTTTATGAATTTGGTTCATATCTGTTCTTGTGTTATGAATTGATAGATGCATGATTTTGATTTGATTTCCGGTGTGAATTTTTATATGTTTAAATTATGTATTTTTCATATATGTGGAACAATGGAACGTAAAAACATGTCTAGGATTCTTGAACATTAAATAGAAACTAGGTTTGGGTTTAAATAAATTTAAATAGACTCAATCATAATGATGCTTGCTATTTGAATGTTTTAAACAAACAAATGAATTTAATCTTTTAATATGTTTTAGCAATTGAGATAAAATGTGTAGGATGAATTGGATATGGAGAATGTTTATTTGACGGTATAATAAAATATCATCATATGTATAAGATTCAATTTATGTAGGACATATGATATAGGAAGCTTAAATAAATAATAAGTCATTCCTATTTTGTGATAACTTGATATCATATTATCATAATTATTTCTGGATTGTTTGATGTATTTCCTTAATCGTTACATTAATTGTTGGATTGTGTGGTTTAATGCACCGGTATGGGACGGTGGCATTTTAGGGACGGATTAACTTATCAGTTAAGTCATACCTATTTTATATAAGGGAATGGATTAACTAAAATGTTAAGTCCTACTTATATTCAAGTCAGGTCAGCTGAACAAGTTAAATGACTTATGGATGATTAATTTATTATATAAGGGAATGTATTAACTAAAATGTTAAGTCCTACTTATATTCAAGTCAGGTCAGCTGAACAAGTTAAATGACTTATGGAGGATTAATTTATACCGAATAGGATGGTTATTAGATTTTATATATATAAGTATGGTGCCATGATATGAACTTGAGTCTTAGGATCAGTGGTTAGGGTGCGTATATCGCCAGGGATGTGTAGCTAGATATAGTGTAGTTGTGTACCCTGGTAGGTCTAGGTATTTATGCCCACTATATGTGCATTTTGCATGTTGCCTACTATTCAGGTTGAGACAACCCTATAGTTTAGTGAGGTTCCTTTAGTGTGTATATATATATATATATATATATATATAGACTACTAGTTACTGTTGGATTGACTAGGATGTATACGTGTATCGGATCTCTGTTTGGACTATAGTAGAGTAGAACTTGTTTGTGGGCCTGACCCACCATTATTTTTCAGGTGTTCGTCAGGAGTAGAGGTTGTTCGTGCTGAGTAGGGATCAGTCTACTTCATTCTTCTGATGCTACATAGGAGTTCTTTTATGATTCAGTTTCCTGATTTAGACAGTTATTGCTGTCATTTCTTTAGTTTGGATTTTCTAGGGGTCCACACAGTATGGATTCCCGAGTTGTATTTTGGAGGATCAGTTGTATCAGAAGAGTTTATTAATTAATGAAAATATATTCTGAGGATTATTATTAGATTATCATTTTAGTTTCTTGTCAACATTTTATTTATTCTTCTTTATTCTTTTGTACATTGTGTTCGTTTATTATTAATTTGTTTTGATATCCTCGGGGTATTCGGGCGTGGGCCTAACCAACCTGCATTCGGAAATTCGTGGGTATCATATAATATTTTACACTTTTCCCGGCTAACATTTATCGTAATTTCTATGCTATGATATGTTTTGGCTGAAATTAATAAATGTTGTATGGGTATGTGAAGTCTTTAGGCCAAGAAGGTCTAAGTTTCTTGCCTACAAACATTTGTCTTTTTTATTTCCAAAAATAATAATAGTAATAATTTCCAAAAATATTTGTCTGTTTTCATAGAGAGGTGAACATGGTCTTCTAAGAAACTTGGTAAATTCTCGAGTTGAATCATTCTTCAATCCCCTGAGTTTATGATCTATGTTGACATTCTTTTCAAATAGTTAGTGATCTTTACTTTCCTATAATGCTAAGGCTCTTGTCATGAAAGATAACAGTGGAAGTTGACTAAGTAATTGTAACTTGTGCATAGGACTAGATTAAGATGATGAATTGCTTTCATTATTTGAGAATATTACACTTGGGTATTGTAGAAATCTCATTTTTGCCCTCCCCTTTCAACTTATCAACCTTTCAAAATTCGAGAAGGAACGACGTTTTTATTCGCCGAGACCATTTCCCCGGTAGGGCTCGCCTATGATAGAAAAATGAAAATAGACAATTAGATCATCCGATCGACCACATTACACATTTCCCGGCAGCCGATCACTAATTCCCGAAAAGGAAAAATTGGTATTTTTCACTACAGCCCTATGATCTGATTGTTAAAATGATAAACGAACTTCACCATTGAGTCCGGAGCACCCAAAATCCCTAGGGCACACCTCTCCTCGAGGTTTCTACCCTTCTCCATCACTCACTTTGACTAAAACCCTCGACGGGGCCCGAGCAGTTAACCCCAACTTTGACGTTTTACTATAATGGTCAATGTAATGTTTCCGATTTTTATTATTTTTCATTTTCTGGGATTTTCTTGATTTTTTGGAGTTATTCCAGTTTTATCTCGTTTGGCGTGTCAGACACCATGGGGCATGCCGAGTGTGTTTGAGAGTTGGTTGTGGCATTTCCTTGAGCTCAAGATTCTTATAAATACATTGGTTGCCATTTCGGCATTTTTCTGTTAGTTTTTTCGGACTGGGAGGTCCCAGGCAGGACCCACTACCGGGTTATTAAGCAGGGGGATTATTTTTCGGGTCCATTGCATTCACACATTATTATTTAATGCATTTTATGTGACTATGTACTTGTACATGCGTTATGGTGGGTTTAGTGTATGTACATATATTATATAAGGTTTTAAAAATATATATATAAATAAATAAATAAATTTTGTTACCGTGGGCCCCACAAGAGCATTAGTTAATGTAAATGGGCATGAGGCTAATATTAGACCTCATTCTCTCTCTCTGCTGTTGCGTTCTCTCTCTCCCTCTCTGTTGATTTTTTTTTTTCTTTTCCAACTTCAAGCCATAATCTCTCTTCCACCATTGTGAATTCGATATTGCCACTTAAGGCAAAGTCATAGAGCTCGTTAAGACATTCATTTTGATCTGAGCAAATCTCTATTTGTAGTATTTGCAAATCTCTTTTATATTTGGATTGGAACAAATCTCTTTTATATTTTGATTGGAGCAAATCTCTGTTTATATATATAGGTCATTTAACTCCCTTGATTTGTAGTATTTACAAGAAATTTCCCTCTTTTTATTTTTTTATTTTTTTGAATTATTACTAAAAATACCCCCACTAAGTCGAGGGGTTTTATGCAATTTGCCAAATTGTGTGAATTTAACATTAAGTGTTTTTTTTTTTTTTTTTTTTTTTAATTTTGAACTTTTATTTTCTATTACATGCAAGCTTGCAACACCATACTTTTAATTAAAAAAAAGTATCAAAAATTAAATAAAATTTATAATTATGAGTGCAACTATATATATAAGTTAAAATCTTATATGGTTACTCATATTATATATATTATACATACCATTATTATATTACTTATATTATATTTTTAATTTTTTTTTTATCTTGGCATACTAGGGGTGGGGGACTCAAACACGTGCACTCGAAAAGTGGAGCGTTCTACCAACTAAGTCACTAGGTAATGCAAATTTCAGATTGACATTTGATCAAACAGCTAAATCGACAAAAATAAATTTTAAGTACAAAAAGTAATTGAATGACATAAATTATTAGGTTTTTCTTTCATTTTGTTTGGTTAAAAAAAAATAAATAAATAAAAAGGTGAGAGAAGAAATAATATTGCAGAATTTAACTTTACTAGACATATAATAAAGAAATAACATGTAGTTGCACTCACGAGCTAGTCACAATTACAAATTTTTATACTCTTCTTTAATTAAAAGTATGATAATGCATTTAACAAAAATATAAATACAAATATTATTATTGAAGAAAAAAAAAAATAGAATTTTTAACCTAAATTCACACAATTGATCGAAATATAATAAATCCTGGCAAACCAACATAACAGAGAAAAAGAATTTGTTAAAGTAATAAATCTTAGCACTTCTGTAAATGGGATTAAATGTTCATAGTGAGCTAACATATAGATTAAAAAAAAAAAAAAAAAGGCAAACATTATTTATTTTTTTTATTTAAAAAAACCGAATTCTGAAGGGCCAATAATGGATATAGAAAAATAATTGATTAAAAATTACTTGCGCATGGAGATTTTATCACAAATTCTAATGAAGACAGGATGGATTTGTCTTTGATACTATGGATTTGTCTGACTAGGCAACAAAAAGAAAACTAGAAATGTGGCTATACAGGTGGCAAGTAAATGTGCGAACCACATTGACCTAAACCTAAAACCTAATCCTAAAATATCTAAGATCTCAAAATCTATAAGCTCTTCATCTATCAGAGAATTTGAAATAGCTTATCCTGTTATCCAGATCATTGTGAGAATAAATAAGGAGATTGAGTTTAATTAGGATTCTTTTCTTTGTCATGATCTTCTTCAGAAAATGTAGAAGTTAAAAAAAAAAATTAATCGACCAAATGAGGACCTGAAATATCAAAGTGTAGAATACCAAAGTCCTTGACTAATAAAAGTACTAGAAGATTGCATTTGAACAAATATATTGACGAAGTTTCAGTAATTTATATAAGATCTTGCAAATACAGTGGGTAAACAAACACTTTTATTAATTAGGGTTCTCAGTCTATCTTCTTCTTCTTCTTTTTTTAATCTAACTTCAGAAAATGTAAGAAAGAAATTATAAAAAATTAATGGACCAAATGAGAACCTGAAATATCAAAGTCCTTGACTAATAGAAGTAGAAAGATTACATTTGAACAAATATATTGACGAAGTTTCAGTAATTCATATATGCTCTTACAAATATAGTGGGCAAACAAACACTTTTATTAAGAGATCGAACCATACATAGATGAACAACAACAGAGCTTATGTAAATGACAAACCATAAGATGATAAATACGTACATAGCTAATTCAGATAAGCCCTTACAGACACTAGTAGGATACACAGACATTCAAAATTACTTATATGGGACTGACAATGTATCACCTACATAATACGAAAGCATACCGTATATAGTGGATAAAAGCGCGAGGACGAAAAGGATGATGCCGGCCATGACAGATATGCCTGCCCATGGACTACCAAAATAATAATGTTTGAGCCTTCCAGTAGAAACTCGCCAAGGCGTGCAGAAATCCATGGCCTCCTTGTATACCTTACTGTAATGGAAGCCGCTTGAACTGGCATTCTTGCAAATACCATTGAAGAGTCGGGCCACTTCTTCCCTGGAACCTAAAGAGTTGCGAATGATTTTAGCTTCCTCGAACAATTGAACATCGTCTGGGGTGTTGATTAGGAGATCCATGAAGAACGCAAATGATGTGAAGTAACTAGGAATCTGGGGGTTACATAGCTCGTAAGCAATGACGTTTCTCAGAAAACAGTCAGTGGAATCAGAGACGGTGAAAGGTGTAATTTCTAAGTGGCCTTTTATAAACAAAGAAGAGCAGCTCCTCCAACTAAAAGCTTTAGTAAACTCTATGTTGAATAATTCTTTTTTCTTGCCAGCCCTCAATTCCACTCCCGCCAAGCGAAGTTCTGTAGCGGAGTACTTGATTCGCTCTTGGTGTATGGATTTTTCAGGTTTCGGAGTAGTAGGCGGCATATAGTACCCCCGCACAAGACACAGTATATGATGACCACTTTCCCTCTCCAAATTACTTAATTCATCATCATTTTCAATGTCTATAATATTTTCAGCGCCCATTATGTTGCCCAAGAATTTAAAGATCCATTTAATAAGGGAGTCCCTTGTATAACTTTTATTTTGGATCTTTCCAATCGTCAGTTGGAACAAATCATGAACAACTATTAAAGGAATCTGATTCTCGAGCAATAGCAAATCACGTCGGACTGCATAGCACTTAAAAGGGTTGGACAAAATGGAGTCAATATTCCAGTTCTCCGACTCTGAATTTTCCGAGCCTAAATTCTCGAAATTTCTGTATAGTAGTTCAATTATGAAGCAACCATCAATAAGCATCATTTCTGCAAGCCCGACATCTTCGGTTTTTTCCTTTAACCTGGCCGACGCATAATATTTTGTAGCAAATTCTTCGATATCCAACACTTTGGCCGCACAAGCTTTCAGAGTATCATCAAATGATGTTTCAAGTCGGTCAAATAGGCTACGAACGTAACTCAACTTCACAGACTCCATTTGTTGAAGCCGTGTCCCTCTGTGAAGAGGGCCAATAGATACGATACTAGGGGTATACGCGTTTTCGTTTTGCTCGGGGACCGCCATCGTGGGGATCAGTTGCTCGATGAACTGCTCCATCATATCATCGAACTCATCGGTGCGGCCGATTTTTTCCTCAATGGATTTCACCAACGAAGCAACACTTTCTTCGTTTGCCATCACCGATCTCTCTTATTTCCGTTGAGCGATTATGTGTTTCAGCAGGGCAAGACTCAGGTTTTTATTAGATGGGATCAATTTTGGTAAATTATGATCACACCCCTGAAGTAGGGTCTAAAAACATGTGCATGCCAAGTTTTATGGCAATTCACATTGACACCCTAATATATATCGCCCAAATTCTATTGACCCTGTGGTAATTTAGCCATTGTCGTTGTTAGTAGACCTAAAAATGGATTGGATTCGAATAGGATTAGCCTTTTACTCTATTTGATCTGATTTAACAATACCACGGATATTTTGTGAATGAATCCAAATCTGATTTGTTATTAAACGAATATTTAATTCGATAATTCAAACTGAATTGGTAAGGGTGTAGTTTATTTTTTATATATGTAAAAGAAATTAATGTTAAAAGAGAATAAAAACAATGATTAGAAAAAATGATAGAAAACAAAGATAAATAAAATATGGAAGAAAAAGGAAAAAAAAAAAAAAAATAGATCATTTATTCTTAATTTCTTAATGAATATACAAAAAGAATAATATAAAAATACGACAACTTATACAAAGTAATTTCGTAAATGACAAGTACCTATACATTTAGGACATAATTACCCCTCAACCACTTTATTTGATTTTACCAAATTGCCCTTGAATTACAAATATAATATTTAACTAAGAAAATATCAAAAATCAAAAAGTCTAAATTGCTTAAACAAAAGTCTTATGAATCAAAGCCTCAAACACACAACCATCAAAACTTGAAAACTGAAGAACACCCCCTCTCGTCATTAACGAATGCCCCTCCCACATCGTTAGTCCCTCTCTCTTGCCATTAACGATACCAATAGCTTGCAATTTCCGACGACTAACTCACCGGTGAATCAGTCCAGCACCAGAGTGGGTGTTTGGTGATTCAAACACTGGCATCACTATGCATCTCTCCCTATCCCATTAAGACACGGATCAGTCCGTACCCTTGAACGACGATTAACTCCCACTCCAAAGAGCATTACTTTCTCTCTCTAGAATCCGGTAAGACGATTATTTTTATGTGAAGGTATTCTTGTTGTAGGTTTAAGTTTTTTAACATATGTATGAAGTAAAGTATACCAAACTTGGACTCAGGCTCACACACCTTCACTCTACCAAGACTCAACCTGCTGAACACCTTTTGCTTTATGACTTCTCGTCCAACAACTCTCAACTCAGACTTATGCCTCGAACCTTGTAAAAGGATCGTTGGTAGACCAACAACACTTTGCAAGTGCCTTGATCCCTCCAAAATGTGTTGGAAAATTCTTTTGTGAAATATATATTTTGGGGAGATTGTGAAAAATATATATATTGTATATTGTCTAATTTCGTTGTTAAAATAAGTCCGATCGAGTTGTAATTTTTCGGTTCATGTACAATTTCAAGCTTGAAGATCGGATGCGAATTTGTAGAAGTTTAAGTGTTCATGGTATACTACACTCTGAGATAATGAGAATAATGCTCTAAGAAGTTTGGAAAGATAGTGAGAACATTTAGGAAGGGTTTTGGAAGTTTTAAATAAGATTTTACATTTTTTCCATCTTGAACTGGTTCAAGAATAATCGAACAGGATCAACATCAGCAGAATTGGGAACTATTCAAGATTGCCTATCATGAACCAGTTCAAGAATCATGTCAATTCTTTGCTAGCCATCTTGAACCGGTTTAGCCCCTTTGAACCGGTTCAAGGCAAGTTGACAGTTTTGGTAACTTGCTTTTCTTGCTCTGTTTGATTCCTTTTTAGACTAAACTTCCTTCTAAGTCCTATGCACGAAATTTTCTATATTTTCAGAGGGATTAGAACATTCTACACTCTATATAAACCATGATAGTCATCTAGGTTTATACAAAATTCAGATCTATTAGAGAGCCATCTTTGAGAGATATTTTTTATTCATTCAGAAAATCAATCTGATTTTTCTGATTTTATTTTTGAGAGCACACACATAAACACAAGAGTGATTTAGTAATGTTGTTCTCTATCTTATCGAAATTGGAGCATAATTGAAGATTCAGAAATTTCAAAAAGTATAATTCATTCATTCTTCGTCAAATTCAGATCTAGAAGAAAAGGGGTGAAGTGATCACACTTTAAAGGGGTCAAAGCATCCGTGGAGTGTTGTTTGATCTACCGACAACTCTTCTACAGAGATCGAGAGTAAGCCTGAGGTCGAGAGCTGTTAGACGGTGGAGTCGCAAAGCCAGGAATTGTCAATAATTGGTTTTTAGTAAAACGATAGGGTGTGAGACTAAGTCAAAGTTCCGTATCCTTTGCTTCAAACATAGTGGATCATTTATCTCAGGAATACAAAGTCCAACGAGGTTTTTCCTGTTATAATTGGTCTATTCTACCAATTGAGGTTTCCTCACTAAAATCCTGGTGTTATCTCTCAAACTCTATTTACTTTACTTGCACTTTATTTTAGTTTTGTGGTTTGATTTTAGTTTGATTTTGGTAAAATTAAAATAAGTAAAAATTGGATAAAAGAGTAAGTTGAATCTATTCACTACCTCTCCAAATTATCTATCCATATTATATTCCACAACCATTCCATTGCGCACAAACTCAACATCTTCTTATTTGAATTTGAATTTGTTGTAGAAGAAAAAAATCTTACTTCTCAAAATTTTTGAAACTTCAATTAGGCTCCTGTGACGACCCTGGTTTTTAGGCCAGTGTGTCCTGTGATGAACCGTAAGGATGATCCGATAACGGATCCGAATGCGGAAGCGAAAACAGAAAACAAGACTCTAAGAAGTCAAAGTGACCTTCCATGAGGTCGTGGAACTCAATAAGAACTGATGCGGAAGCAAAAGATCGAAAATATGACAAATAAGCCCCCAGGGGCGAAATAGTCATTTCAAAAAACTGTAGATTCGGGTGCCACCGAGTACACCGCTAGAAGGACAATGAAAAACTAATCAAGATGGACTCAAGAATCGCATGATTCGAAATCCGGACGAAGGAGAAATGGCATGACGAAGAAAAACGAGCACTTAAGGCAAAAAGGGTAAACTGGTAATTATTCAGGAAGAACCGGTGCAACCGAGCACACCGTTGGAAACACAGCGAAAAATTAGTCAAGTTCAAAAAAAAATTCACTTGAATTGGAGTCTGGACGAAGGAGAAAAGCCCAAAAGAATAATTGACGTCGCGGCGGCCCGACGAAGGGCCATGACAGCCCCATGCGCGCGCCCATGCACGCCGCGCGCGCGCCGGGTGCACACATGGTTGGCAGCAGCCCATAAAGCTGCTGCGTGGTTTCTTTTTTCAGAAAAATCTGGAACAGAGGCTAAATTTGGAGGCTTAGATGAACTTTTTTGCAAAAACACAAAGAGGAAACCCCCCTCAAAATTGAGTTTTCTACGTGACTCGTGTAGAATTAAAAAAAAAAACTCACTGTAAAATGCCCAAAATGCCCTCCCAAGAAATTTGGTCCAGAGGGTCGAAAAAGCTGCTAAATTGAAAAACTAAGAGCTGAACTTCGTAAGCGATTTCCGATGCCAAGATGACATTTTCTGGAAAAATACAAAAAAGAAACCCCCCCTAAAATCATTTTTTCTATTCAACCATGTTGAAAGAAGGAAATAAAACTAAATGAAAAAGTCTAGAATACCCCTAGATCAGAATATGCAACAAAAACGCAAAATGAAATCGTAGGAGGCTCAAAACACAAACGATGAGGTTTTGCCCGGAAACGACTATGCACACAAACGTAACTTACCTATTTAGAAGCGCTACAATGATCCATGGCTTAAAAATATAGCCGATACAAAATCCGACCCCCCAACGTGCAAAAAGGCAAAAATGGACTTGGAATGGGAAACATGGAATCCAAAAATGTAAAATGGAGTCAAATGACCATTTGGCCCTTGGCCACACTTCATATAAGATTTATAAGACCCTATAAAAGAATGAAAATGGAATTCCTACACCCAATGCAACCATGGTAAAGTAATGACTTGCGATTTTTCAAGGTTTTCATAATATTTCATGAAGTTAAAAAGTACATAGAATACAATATAATGGTTATTGACGTCCGACCTCATCTCATACATATCAAATACATTGAAAGAAGTGTACTTAAGTACACATTACATACATGGAATCAAATATGCATATTTTGACATATAAGTCTACAAAATGACATTTCATGCTAACATTTGCATGAAATGGAAACTTGAAAGCTACATGACATCCAAGGAATGCTAGGCGTCACGAACCAAGTCTTCGTACCTGAAATATACCCTAGTATCGTAGGGGTGAGTAACATAAAGCTACTCGTAGGAGATGAGCATGCATCGACCTAGCATTTTACAAATTTATCACCTTAAGGTGAAACATGTTAAAAGGGCTCATGCCACCTAACGTCTATGTTCAAGTGAGACTCGGGGAGCATCCTAAGCTACCTTAGAGTCTAAGCAACAAGAATCATGATATACATACGTGTATGAAACGAATCATGGTTGGGATAATCGAAAGAACACGACAAGAAGAATGCTTGAGCATAGATTAACATGAATTTCATTTTTAATACAATTAAACTACGTCTAGAGTAATCCATATAACATAACAAAAGCATATTTGAATACAAGTTAACAAGAATCACATTTTCCATGCAATTCAACAACAAAAGAGCATGTTATACAATGCAACAAGGTATAAGTTCTTAAAGCCATCAACTTAGAATCTAAAGCATAAAATAACAGTGGTGGTTTATGCCACCTAACGTCTAAGTTCTAAATGAATCAATAGGTTCAATCCTAAGATATGTTAGAACGTCAAAACACAATTTTCAATATCGATGTAATTTAACCAACATTGGGACTTCCAATACAACGCATAAAGCACAATTTCGCAAAGTTAACATCATGTAACTTAAAATGGAACGACAAATAAGGAATAACAAGTTACAACATCATCTAGTTATCAACTTGAAAATGAAATGCGAAGTCAAACA